ATATTATATACAGTTGTTTGTCTGTGCTACATACACTTGTCTGTCTGTGCGTGCTGTATTATTATAATCGTCTGTCTGTTCTATATACAGTCGTCTTTGATATATACAGTTATCTGTCTGTCTGTGGTATATACAGTCGTCTGTCTGTGCCATACACAATTGACACCGATAATACAGTTGTTATTGTCAAGTACAAGTGTGTTCATCAAGTATATTTATTGTCTCCGTTATGTAAACTCGTTTCGGACTTTCAAAAAAAAACAACAAAAAACCAAAAACTAAAGCAAAAGCAATAACAAAACAAGACAAAAAACCAACAAAAAACCAACAACAAAACAAACCAGCACATCCGGCCCTTTATGGGGTTCACATTCCTTTCGTTGCGGTTGTTTATAACAAGAAACTCAACGGCCTGCCTCGTCACAGGCAGACGACACGTCGTCCAGAAACAAAGAAAGAGAGATGGACGGATAGACGAGGGGAAAGTCACTAATGTGGATATACAGGCAGACAGGCAAATACAACTGCAAATCGTTATGAGGCTGGACCCTTGCTTCCTGGTTGTCAGCCACCAGAAGAGATCGGAACAGTTATGTCATTACGAAGTAATACGGGTGTATACACAGTAAATTGAGGGCAGCAGAATACAGACACCGACAATATCAATAACTTCCCCTTTACCACGAGACGGAGAAAAAGACACAATGTAAATTTTATAGACGGACAGGTTATCGACCTGTGTTTTGCAGTTCTGCAAATTTATCTGCGAAACAGAAGCTGATATTAGATCTACGATGTAGCATAATTTTTCAATGAGAACCAGTTTGCCCTTTATATTTAAACATTTAAACCGGATTTTAAAAAACAACAACAAACTAACCAACCGCCTCCCAAAAACAACAAACAAAAACAAAACAACACAAAAATACCCAACAACAACAAACAAACAAACAAACAAACAAAACTCGCGACTGAAACAAAAGTAGGAATTAGATACACCTTTCAACGAATCGAAAGTGGAGAAAAAGCTGGGGACGCTGTTTGCCAACAGTTGAATTCATGGTACGCATATCTTTATCTCTCCCTCTTCTTTCCTTTATATGTCATTCACTTGTAACACCTATAATCTTCGGCACTTATACGACATACTCTTGTTGCAAGTGCTGTGAAACAAAACAAACCAAAGAAAAGTTATTAAAAGTGAGCGATTTAGTGAGACTAAAATTGGTATGGTTGGTACGCTTTTATCTTCGTTTTTTGTTCCTGTCTGCGTTTGAGTAAAGAGGGGCACATCTATACAAGAACAGTCATTTCATTTGAAGCTTGGAGAAAAAAGAGACTGGTAGATACAATCAAACTTGCTCTAACGGCCATCTGTCCAAATCATCTATAAAAACTACCACTTCCCATTTCCTCCTAGTGTTTTTTCTTGGTTTTATTGACATTGCCCAACACATCCACCTGTTTTGTTTTGTTTTTGTTTTATTATTATTAGTTAGTAGAGGTTTTACGGCACTCGCAATTGTATAAGGTCATATGAGCGCCAAGGGGTGAATATCAACAGAGAAGTCTTTACAGGGAATCAGGCTTACACTGCTCACCTCTCTAGCTTCAACAGCACAGAATCTGTCTCTACTTTCAAGGCACCCCGGAAATAGCGGGTCACAAGAGAGTGACAAACGTACAAAAGAAGTAGAGGCAAAATGACAATAGTAAGGATTAGGAAAGAAAAAGCAGCAGTTCCCTGTTGTAGATCAGGCACAGTTATGAGCGTGACATTGATGAATCAGCCCATTTACAATTCTACTGTGCATGAACGAGAAATGTCGCCCCTTTGGGAATGGCCTAAAGGCACTTCAGTCAGTGGCACCGCCCCGGGGGGTGTTTTTGATTTAGTAACGAGTTTTACGGCACTTGCAACATAAAGAGGTCATATACGTGCCCAATATTAGAGGTGCTACAAGAAAGTAACAAACACAAAAAGGAGGAGAGCTAAGGACGATAGATGTTTGATGAAAGAAGGAGCACACCACACCTGGGCACCCGCCAACCACCCACTCCCACCTGTCTGGACAACCACTTTTCTCTTCGACAATGGGTGGCAGCCTTGGACAGCTTCGACTGTATTGCACTGCCGTCCCAAGGCCTAGCATTTGATCTGACAAAATCAAGCAGGCTTTTTTCTGTTGTTGTTTTATTGTTTTGTTACATAAAGATACATTCGTCTTTTTTGTTGTTGGTGTTTTACGGTGCTCACAACTGCATAAGGCAATATGAGCGCAACACTAGTCTTGCCCATATCTTTCTAGTTTAAGTGTCAACATATCAACACCCGAAACAGCAGTATTCAAAATGATAAAGTTATGTAAGAGATGGATCTCAACCCAGTTGTCGATGGCAGATCGAAGGTTGTATCTACATTTCCGCATTTACCATACTTAGAGAAATTCATAACTTTAGAAACGCTAAACGTCAGACGTTTTTGTTTGTTTTTCTCAAAACCATGACTTGATCAGTTACGTTGTTCCGCCTTTGGACAGCAGATTACTTACTTGTAGCAGGTGACCTGATTCTGAGGGGGTAAGCGATACGAATTGCGCTATGAGTCAAGGTGTTGGCGGGGAACAGAGAAACAAATCTGATATAAGTCGCCTGTATCCAGGTGTCAAAAACCGGCCGCTGGACAAACAGGCGGTAATATCTCGGGACGCCGCGTGACGCAATCTCAGGAAGGTTTGGTGGATTTGGCGGAAAGGGGGGGGTTGCAGTAACACTGTACTAGAAGTAGTAGCAACACATGAGAGACGTCAGCTACGTGGAGGGTGGCGATGATCCACGTCTAGACGGGGCCAGTAGAGACAGGTAATTTCAGGTGACTCAAAAAACTAGGTCATTAGGTCAAGTCGTTAAGTTCTAAAGAGTCATCCCAAAGTGTGTCGTAATGACTGTCAGATAATGAGGAGAGAGAGTATCCCATTGCTCATAGGGATAGGTGTTTGTGTGTGTGTGTGGTATGTGTGTGTGTGTGGGGGGATGGGGAGGGGGTGCCTTACTTAAAAATGGATAATAGCAAAAAGGGGGAGATGGGTATGTGGGGTAGCTGTTTACGATTCTAGTTTGAGGGAGGG